GGAGAATAGCATGTTCTCATTGCAAGGTTCTTTGAACTGACTGCACCAGGACTACAGCATGGTGACCCCTGCGACCCACACATACACCTCCAGATGGCCTCCTGGAGCCAGAGAGTCTGAAAACAACCACAAAAGGAGAATAGCGAGCTCCTACAGTGCCTGATTAACCAACTTTGCGATATTTGACCATTGCTCCTGCCTCAACTGATAAGCCAAACTTGTGACACCACCCCCACCCCACAAAGCTTGAAAAAACTGCCCTGAACTGTAACTTTCCACTGCCTACCCCAAACCTATAAAACCAACTCCTATTCCGCTGCCCTCTGCTGACTCTTTTCGGACTCAGCCCGCAGGCACTTGGCTGAATAAACAGCCTTGTTGCTCACACAAAGCCTGTTTAGGTGGTCTTTTCATTCAGAGCACACTTAACATTTGGTGCCGAAATCTGGGACGGGGTACTCCTTTGGGAGACCAACCCTCTGTCCCCACTCTGCCTCTATGAAGAGACCCACCTGTGACCTCAGTGCATCAGACTAGCCTGACACCCCTCTCGCCACCTTCAGATCAGGTAAGCATCTCTCCCTCTTTCCCTTTAAATCCTCCTAAATAGAGAAAAAGAAGATAACTCTCTCCCTTTCTGTTTCTTCCTTTAAATCCTTCTAACCAGAGACAAAGGAGACCCTCCTTATCTGTGCGCTCAAAAACTCCAACATTGGTCATGGACTCATGAAGACAGTCTTCCCTTGGTGTCTGGTAAATTGTGGGGACGCCTGCCTTGATCACCCATGTTACAGCCCAGGACTCATGGACGCCTCACTGAAAATCCTGGTAGCTGCTCTCATTCTCCTCCTCTCTACTTCTCTCCTTAAAACTTCCTTCACTGTGGGCAATATTCTGCCCTTTATTCCTCAAAGAAACCTAAAACTTTGACTGTCGCCTGGCCTGAATACAAATTAGACAATGGTTCCAAATGGCCAGAAAATGGCACTTTCAATTTCTCTATTCTGCCAGACCTAGACAATTTTTGTCAACGAATGGGCAAATGGTCTGAGGTGCCGGATGTCCAGGCATTTTTTACACTCCAATCCCTCCCTAATCTCTGCTCTCAATGCAATGCGTCCCAAGTTTTCCTTCTCTCCCTTCCATTCACCCTTATGTCCCCCTACCTTAACCCTAGGATGTGGGACACCACCTCTCATCCCTCTTCATCCCCTTAAAACCTAACCACCCTTATCCCACCTGGCGCCATTACCCCATCCCAGCACAAGCCTTAAAAGGGCTACAGCCTGTGCTACTCACTTACTACAACATGGCCTTTTAGTTCTCACCAACTCTCCCTACAACACCCCCATCCTACCTATCCAAAAACTGGACAAGTCCTACAGGTTAGTCCAGGACCTTAGCCTTATTAATCAGAGTGCTCCCCATCCATCCCATAGTGCCAAACCCCTATACTCTCGTCCTCCATATTCCCTACCACCACCCATTATTCCATCCTGGACCTCAAAGATGCCTTCTTTACTATCCGTTTGCACTCCTCTTCCCAACCCCTTTTTGCCTTTACTTGGACTGACCCTGCCACCCACCAGTCCCAGCAGTTGACCGGGACCTTTCTTCCCCAAGGTTTCCAAGACAGCCCTCATTACTATAGCCAAGCCCTAACCTGCAGCTGACTCTCCTTTCACCCTTTCACTTCCTACCTCATACATCAACAATCTCCTTTGCAGCCCCTCTTATAAACCTTCTCAACAGGCCACCCTCCTACTCCTTCAACTTCTAGATTCTAAAGAATCCCAAGTATCTCCTTATAAAGCTCCAATTTCCACCCTTCCGTGACCTATCTATCTCAGCATAATCCTCCATTAACACACGCGCTCTTCCTGCCCATAGTGTCCGGTTAATCTCCCAAACCCCAATCCCCTCCACTCAACAGCTTCGTCCTTCCTAGGCATTGTAGGATGCTTTCACCTCTGGATACCAGGTTTTACCCCACAACCAAACCACTTTATAAACTGACAAAAGGAAACTTAGCTAACCCCATAAACCCCAAATCCTCCCCCCATTCTTCCTTTTATTCTCTAAAGAAGACCTTAGAAACGGCCCCTATACCAGCACTCCCCAAGTCCGCCCAACCCCTCTCCCTTCACATAGCAGAAATGAAAGGCTGTGCAGTCAGAGTTCTTACCCAAGAGCCCGGCCCATGACCTTCTTGTCAAAACAACTCAACCCCACGGTCCTAGGCTGGCCATCACGCTTACGCGCCGCAGCGGCTGCGGCTGTAATACTCCTAGAATCCCTTAAAACTACGGGCTTTGCCCCACTTAGCCTCTACAGTTCTCACAACCTCCAAGGTTTAGCTTCCTCTTCACACCTCACACCCTTTCAGCGCCCCACCTTCTCCAGCTTTAGGCACTGTTTATTGAAACCCCCACAGTAACCATTGCTCTTGGACCGGACTTCAACCCAGCCTCTCACTTAACACCCGACACAAACCCTAATCTGCACAATTGCATCTCACTAATCCACACAGCATCCTCCCCCTTTCCCCCTATTTCCTTCTTCCCAATCCCAAACCTGGACCACACATGGTTTACTGATGGCAGTTCGCCAAAGCTGGCAATGCTGTTGAATCCCACTCATCTATCATTGAGGCTGCCACACTCCCTCCCTCCACCACCTCTCGGCAAGCTGAACTAATTGCTTTAACCTGTGTTCTTACTCTTGCCAAAGGACTACATGTTAATATCTGTACTGACCCTAAATATGCCTTCCACAATCTACACCACCATGCTACCATATGGGCAGAAAGAGGTTTTCTCATCACACAGGGGTCTTATCAATGCCCTCTTAATAAAGGCCATCCTTAAGGCTGCTCTCCTCCCAGCCAAGGCCGGGGTTATCCACTGCAGAGGACACCAAAACCATTCAGATCTTATTGCCCAAGGAAATGCAGAGCCTTAGCTGACAAGACAGCCAAAGCAGCAGCGGACACCCCAGTATCTCCCCCACAAGGCCAATGTTTTTCCTTCTCATCCATCTCATTCTTCCTCTGGAAACTCACTTTACCAGTGGCTTCCTACACAAGGCAAATGGTTCTCACACCACAGGAAGTTCCTCCTCCCTGCCTCACAAGCTCACTCTATCCTCAAATCCTTTCATGACCACTTCCACATGAAATACAAGCCCTTAGCTGTCTTTTAGGACCCCTCGTTTCTTCTCCATCATGCAAATCCGTCCTGAAAACAATCACATCCTAATATTCTATGTGCCACTATACTACTCTCCAAGGCTTCCTTAAACCCCCTCCTCCTCCTACACATCAAGCCAGGGATTTACCCCCACACAAGGCTAGCAAATAGATTTTACTCATATGCCCCGTATCCACAAATACGTTCTAGTCTGGATTGACACCTTTACCGGATGGGTTGAAGCCTTTCTTACAGGGTCCGAAAAAGTTACCGCAGTTATCTCTTCTCTCCTAACTGATATAATCCCCCGATTTGGTCTTCCTACTTCTATACAATATGAGAATGGACCAGCCTTCAATAGCCAAACTACCCAAGACCTTAATTTTCCATACTCCCAAAATCGTTTGCCAACGGAAAGAAACCCTTCCCTGTCCCCCCCTGTAACGCCTACACGACAAAAAAAAAGTAATTCCATTAATCCCCTTGTAGGATTAGGAGTCTCCACTGCTGCAACTGGGATAGTTATAGCAGGCCCTACTACTTCCATCACCACATCCCGCAGTCTAATGATTTTTCCGACAGCATTTCAGACATAACTAAAACTATCTGTTCTCCAAGCCCAAGTTAATTCCCTGGCTGCAGTTGTCCACAATTGCCGGGGCCTCTATTGCCTGCTGAGAAAGGAGGACTCTGCCTATTCCCAAATAAAAAATGCTGCTTTTATCTAAACTAATTTGGCCTTGTATATGACACCAACAAAAGACTTAAAAGACAGGGCCCAAAAGCTTGCTAATCAGGCAAATAATCTGGACCTAGCTGGCCACTCTCTAACTGGGTATCATAGCTCCTTCCATTAGCAGGCCCCCTTAGACCCATTTGTCTCCTATTGGGACCTTGCCTTTTCTGACTAATCTCTCAATGCCTACAAAATCATATCCAAGATATAACCAATCATTCAATACGACAAATGCTCCTTTTAACAACCCCACAACATCCACCTTTGCCCCAAAATCTCTCGACAGTATAAATCCTTTCCCATTTTTAGGTTTCCACACCGCCCCCAATCTTGCTTGAAGAAGCCCTGAGAAACATCACCCATCACCCCTCTGTATCACCCCCAAAATTTCACTGCCCTCCCAATTTTTCTAGTTTTTACTTTTCTCCTTTATATTATTAATATAAAAAAGCAGGAATGCAAGGTTCTTTGAACTGGCTGCAACATGGTCACACCATGGTGACCCATGACTCACACTTACACCTTCAGACAGCCTCCTGGAGCCAGAAAGTCTCAGATAACAAGAAAGCACAAAAGAAGAGCCAACTCCTGCAGTGCCTGATTAACCAACCTTATTACATTCCACCACTGCTCCTGTTTCAACTGATAAGCCAACCTTATGACACTGGACCTTGTGACACCGCCCCCCTCCCCCGTCTCCTGCCGCAACACCACCCAGCTTGCAAAAACCACCCTGAACTGTAACTTCTGTAGCTTTCCACTGCCTACCCCAAACCTATAAAACCAACTCCTATCCCACTGCCTTCTGCTGACTCTTTTCAGACTCAGCCCACTCGCACCCGGGTGAATAAACAGCCTTGTTGCTCACACAAAGCCTGTTTAAGTTCATTCAGAGCGTGCTTAACACTCAGAAACAGGTGGCAACGCCTTCCCAAAGCCCTAGCTCCCCAATGCCCCAGCACAATAAGCAACCTGTGAATTAAGCCAATAAGGGCTGGAGGAAGAGTGGTCTCTAAGCTTTCCCCAAAGCAAAGAACGGGCCTGACTTCAGAGCACGGCAGGGCAGGAAGAGTTACCTCTGCTGTGGCCTGCAGTGTTCACACCACCGAGCTTCTGTTTCAGTTCCTGGTTTATCCACATGTAGCGGCCTAGTTCCTTCTCCAGAGCTTGAATCCGGGCCTCATACTGCCTCTTGCTGTCTGCTAACCCTTCACCAAGGTGGTCTAGAGTGGAAGGGCCAAGGAAAGGGTGGTAAGGGCCTGTGGGTGGGGCGGGGTCTGTGAGGGGGCGGAGCTGTGAGCACAGGTGGGAAGGGGGCGGGGGCTGCTTGCCTCGACTCTGCTGCAGGAGCAGCTGCAAGTTCTGCTCGTGCTCCTTCTGCTGCAGCGTCAGCTGGCGGTCCATCTCCAGGTGTTGCCGCTCCAGGGCCACCTCCAGCCAGTACACCAGCCTCTGCTGCTCCTCCAGCTGCATCTCCAGCTCAGAGAAGGCAATCTGCTGCTGGTGCTGCTCCTCTCGGAGCGTCACCACCTGTCCCAAGACCCAGCCAGGCTCAGCCCCCACCAGGAGCCCTCTTCACCCAGCTAATCCTCAACCACAGACACAGCGTTGGCACATCTGCCACCACAGCACTAAGAAATGCCCAGAGTCTCCCCTGCTGAGCCAAGACTCAGCCTCAGATACCTTTCCACAGTGTTCTAGTGATCTTCCAACAATCACAGCTGGCTCTCATGATGAAACTCTTCTCTCTGCCACAAGCCCTTTCCTAGCCACACACCACAGAGCCGGGGAGAGCCTCAAGCTGTGGGACTTCATCTAGGCCAACCTCAGCACTATGGACATCTGGGACCAGAGAATTCTTGGTTGTGGGGGCCTGTCCTGTGTGTTATAGGATGTTCAGTGGCATCCCTGGCCTTCACCCCCACCACTGTGACAACCAAAAGTATCTCCGGCCATGGCCAATTGTCACCCAAGGGCAAAAACATCCCCTATTGATAGCCACTGTTGTGGCCATAACCACCCTGAGGCTAGCCAATCAGAAGCAGAGGGCAGGAAACTAGGTCTTAGCTTCACACAAATAAAACAGGCTTTAAAGTCAGGTGGCTCTGGAGACAAGGTAGTCTTGATCCTGTCCCTTAGTCTGGGAGGAAATGGGGAATCCGCTGGAGCAGCTGCCATGAGACACCTCCCCTCACCAGCCGCAAGAGGCGGGGGGCAGGGGGACCATGGGGCCTCAGGAGGAGGAGGTGGGGGGCCATGGGACCTCAGGAGGAGGAGGAGGAGGCCATGGGGCCTCAGAAGGAGGAGGCGGGGACCCTGGGGCCGCAGGAGGAGGAAGTGGGGGCCATGGGGCCTCAGGAGGAGGACGTGGGGGCCATGGTTTGATGGCCCACCTTGTCAAAATACTTGCAGAGGAGGGCTCTGGTCTCAGAGGACGAGAGGTAGCTGAGCTTGGCCATGAGGTTCATCTCGCACTGGGACAGCAAAGAGGCTGAGGCCCGAAGCACTCGCTGGCGGCATGTGATGGCCTCATTCTTGTACTCAATGGCAGCATCCAGGGCCTCAATGGCCTCATCCAACTGGAACAGCGTCCGCTCCTCCTGCAGGGACAAGGACACATGTGGAGCAACATCACCCACTGCCTGAATGCTGAAGTCCTGGGCATACACCAACAGCCAACACATAGCCACAGCTGGGCCTTAAGTCTCCTCGTCCTAAGGGCAGAGCCAGCACATGGAGAGAGAAGCCCTGCTCACTGTCACAGCCCCGACCCCAGGGTGGGCTGGGGCTACTGCTCAGAGGCGGCCTGCTCAACTGCCAGCCCCAGCAAATAATCTACACTCAGGAAGCTCAGAGCACCAAACAGAAGGCATGGCTGGGACGCCATGGAGGCACCATGGTGTCTGCTGGGTAAGCTTTTACAGATGGAGATGTGTTCTGAGAAATGCATCATTAGGCGACTTTGACGACGTGCAAACATCAGAATGTATTCAAACCTAGATCGTATAGCCGACCACAGACCTAGGCCACAAGCCTGGACAGCACGGGACTGTCCCGAATACTTTGGGCAGTTGTAGCCATGGTATTTGTGTATCTAAACATAGAAAATGCACAGTAAAAATGCACTATGATCATCTTCTGGGAGCACTATTGTATGAGCTGTCTGTTATTCACTGAAATGTCACACAGCACATGACGCGTCACACAGGACTTCTCTGCTCAGGGAACACAGATGTGTGGGCGTGAGGTGCGCTGAGCGTACTCCTGACGCTCTGTCCACACTCGGAGCTGAGGCATGTGGACAGGTGCTCAAATGCAGCACAGAACAGGAGTGCAGGCTGAGGGGTCAACATGCCCCACCCCTGCATCCCAGCCAGTGAGGCCAAAGCAGGGCAGAAGGGCCAGGCCAGCCCTCCCCAGCCCCTACCTCCACCTAACTGTGACCTTGGGTCTACAGACAGCAAGGCCCAGCACCCCCAGAGGGCTGGAGCAGGGGCTGAGGAGAGCAGACAGACAGGCGGACGATGGCACTGGGGGCCCCAGGGTACCTCGGGGGACAGCAGGCTCCCCTGCCGCAGCTTGCTGTCGATCTCCAGGCGCTGCTTGAGCAGCGAGTCCTTCTCCTGGCGCAGGCTGTCAATCTCCCCTCGGATCTGCTGCTGGCTCTGGGCGCTGCCCTGCCGCAGCTGCCCACTCTTCTCTGACAGCTCCTTCTCCAGGTGCTCCAGCCGGCTGGACACACGCACGATGTCCTCGTTGAGGGCCTGGGGGTAGCACCACCAGGGATTAGGGAAGGAACAGCTACTGTCCTCACAGGGGTGTCAGACAGCCGGCTGGACACGTGCATGATGTCCTTGTTGAGGGCCTGGGGGCAGCACCATTGGGGATTAGGGAAGGAATAGGCACTGTCCTCACAAGGGTGACAGAAAGGGCCGGCCCAGTCACTGGATGTTAAGAAGGACTCTGGCCCTTCCCTCAAGAAAACGACACTCCAGATGTTCTGCTCAGCAGAGACCAGACTCATTTCACAGAAGCTCCAGGAGGCGGGGCCAAAGGGACCAGAGCATTTGCAGAGGGGCACTCAGAGATGGCGGGAGGAGGATAAGGACAACCAGAGGGACGACACCCTCCTGGCAAAAAGGGACAAGGGGTAGGGGTGGGAGGAATGACCTGTCACTGAGATGACCGGACTGACAGTGATGGGAAATGGCCAAGCCCCAGAGGCCTTTCTGGGAGCCAGATGCGGGAGGAAGTGAGGGCTCTCCCAGCCAGAAGCTAGAGATAATCCAGTAGCATCCTGGACCCTCCTGCACACCAAAGTGATGCCTGCCAGCAGGAGCAGGGCTGGGACACTGAGTGCCTTGCCCAAACCCCAGTACTGGAACAGGCCCCGCATCTGTGACTGCCATCCTCCGCCAGCCCCCATGGCAACGTATGACCCCATCTGACAGAAGAGGACGCTATGGCTCAGAAGCTGACCTTCCTATTCAAGTGACAGTAATGATGTCAGGTGGAGATGTCTCTATTTGACCCTACCACCTTCCTATACCTGCTCCTCCTCAGTCTTCCTGCACAGGCCCTGAGTAGGTGGTTGGAGTGAAACGAACTGGAGGATGGACACTTAAGTTCTTCTATGCATGCATCTGTACCTGTGTCACAAATATCCTGACGCCCTGTGGCTCATGGGAATGCACAGGCTGGACCCCAGTAGGACAGAGTTTCCTCTGTCTGGAACTTATCTGGCAGAGACACCACCTAGAAGAACCTCTCCTGTCTAGACCTCACCTAGAGGGACATCACCTGGCAGGACTTCACCTGGAAGCTTTATCACTTGGAGGGACCTCACTTTGCTAGACCTCATCTGGCAGAAACTTACTTGGCAGGAACTCACCTGGCAAGCTCTGTCCTAGTGGACCTCACTTCACTGGACCTTACCTGGCAGGGTGTCACCTGGTTGGACCTTACCTAGCAGGGTGTCACCTGGCTGGACCTCGCCTGGCAGGGTGTCACCTGGCCGGACCTCTCCTGGCTGGACCTCACCTGTGGACCTCTCCTGTCTGGACCTCACCTGGCTGG